GTTATGTGATCAAAGTTGATTCCTAGTTCTGAAACAGAAAACATAAGTCGTACAAAAACTTTTCAATGTGGTCAATCTTACAGATCTTATACAAGGGGAGATATGCCTCTTCATTGAACTACAAGTAAAAAATGTTTCCTCCTTTTTCCTCAGAAATGCTTTCATGCACAAACCAAATCACTTTACCCCAGTTTCTACAAGCAAAGAGAAACATCTTTTCCCCAAATCCACAATGGATGAATGAAGTGAATGTTAGTGGGAACAAAACTGAACACAGGCTCACAGCTAGCAAAAATTGTGCCTCAGAGGTTTTAGTGTGTAGGGACACCACCAACCACAACACACCAGTACTGCAGCCCTACCTTCCAATAGCGGTGGTTCATCTTCAAAACTGTTGTGGCCTGTGAGTACAAAATGGGCGTGTGTGTGCTGTCGAGAACCCTATTTATATGTATGCATGATGGGCCAATACATTTACCTCTTAGCTATATTAGCACTGAAAGACCTAATTCAGTAGTTCTTACATGAAAAATTCCTCACATTAATACAGACAAAAGCAACAGCAATCTGACCTGGAGTAATCCATTCAAAAAACACAACTGTACAAATCCTCTCATTAAAACAGACAGAGAAGTACGACTGATTTCCTTGCAAATTCTACTGCTGATGCTGTATTCTTTCAAGAAGACACATAAAAATTTCTCCTGCATCAGGGGCCATCAACAAAACAGAGAAATACCTTCCAAGAGCGGCGGTTCATCCTCAAAACTGTTGGGATCTCCTTGTCCCATGGGTGAAGCTCCGTCCTGTGTGTAGCCTGCGTAGGATGAGGACGTGTCTGGGGTGAAGATGTTGGGCTGGGCTGGGTACCCTCCCTGCTGCTGGGAATAGTCATATCCACCAGCTGCATATTGACTGGAAAAAATCAACAACAGATTAATGAACAAGAACAGTTGACTGTGTGGTGTATGCCAGTAGACCCTTAGTGACGTCACAAAAGTACAGAGTGTATGGTCACATGTGGACCTTGCAGTTTGAGTGGAATAAATATAATACCACACACCTGAGATAGAGAGATTTTGACAGCATTCTACATAACAGTATGTATAACAGAAGACTACGACCCATTTTTCAAAAAAGATACAACATAAGAAACAGATGAATTAGCTTCGTAATTCATGAACTTTTCATGGTGCAAATATATGTACTGTTAGTAGTTACCTCAGGTGCAGCCTTACTAATGTCTTGTGACCCAAGTAGTTTCAAACTCCTATATACAAACACACACATACTTTGGTGTATATTGTTGCTGTCCATATGCTACATACTGTTGCTGTCCACCACCATCGTATCCTGCATTCTGGTTCTGGTCATCGTAGCCGGCAGCATAGTTTGTCTGGAAGAAACCCTGGTCAAACCCGTCAGGGCTCTGTCCATACCCTCCTGACATGGTCGTACTGTAACAAGAAAGAAACCAGGTCACATACATGTATAATGAATTTCAGAAGGATCTTGGCATAGAATATTGGTCCCATCTCTTACTAGTCTAGATTTTCACCTGCACTTGCATTTAACAAAATTCTCATACCCACAAAAGGCCACATCTTTAATGTGTACAAAACCACATACGTGTACATCCAGCATTCTCTGAGCAGCAGCTACAGCTAAAACTATGACAATATAACAATGAAATATAATATTTGCAAGACATTTTAAGCATGACATCTATTATATTACTATCCTAGCATACATGTTTCTTCAGTGACTGCAGAATTTATCAAAGTGCCATTTACATTATATCCATGACAGAATATGGGCATAATGTTACAAATCAAAACCCCAACATACTACATGTACCATACTACCGGTACTAGTTTAAGCCTAAAAAAAAAACTGTTCATGCTACTTGCAATTATATTAGTGCAAAACATCCCATACACTAATGAATCTAGCACCTTTCTAATATTTATGCTGGTAAAAGCACCATGACATTACTCTCCAAGCAGAGGTTGATGGTGGGAGATTGTTTGCTTTTTATAAATGGCCCTTTTTTTGGGTGGGGAAATGGTTACAGACTGGCCAATTTGATACCCACCAAAAGATCTGCTTGGAGATTGCCATGACATGACAGCAGCTTAGCCAACATCCTCAATCTCAATTCCTTTCAAGACCTTGCCCAAGACTAAGTGTAAGCACAATATATTGCACATTTTGGGTGATATTGTATGTTTCAAGCAACTTGGCATTCTGTGTGTTGGAAAGATCAGCCAGGCAACATCCAGTTCACCACCACCAGTGTGTTACAGAAGAAGCACAGGCACAGAACAGACAGTACAGACCTTGGTGGTTTCTGGCTTCCTTCTAGAAGCCCTAGGGAATTATCTGGTGGTTGAGAAGCGTCTGGTATTGGGGGAGTGTCGTGGATTGGTACTTCCATGTTTTCTTCTTTTCATACAAAGAGCGAACAACACAGAAGGATCACATGTAACGTTATGTGTTGTGCTTGCCAATGATGTACATCTATGATGATATTGCACTTTGAGTTTGAGTCTTGACTTTGACAACATGTCAGGAAGGGAAATTTTGCATTATGCAGAGATGCGATAGTGTACCTGTTATTAGAATTGTGCAAAAGGATAACGTTAGTAGGGCATTTCACAGTGACCTGTTTGGTGTTTGGCTGTAAGTGTGTTATGGCAACATTATGTATATACTAGTATATGTCACAATAATAATTCTATGGGAATTAATGAGTACAAATGGAGTGAAGGCTGCACATTTCTAACATTCGAAATTATGTGGTGAAGAACTTGGACAAAAATCTGTTCCTTCAAATCAAGATGAAGATCAATCAGTAACAGACTTCATAAAAAATATACAAATACTAGTACAAATTTTGGTTATCATAATTTTTGAACGTCAAAGAATTATAAATTCATTGTTGAAAGATGCAACATGAATACTTAATACATGCACTTGAAAACTGTTCTGATCATAAACATGAACTCGTTTTTTTTTCCAAAATACCGGGTAAATCTTTTGACAACTACTTAGTATAGTTACCCCCCCCCCCC